CTTTCCCTAAGCATTCACTGTTGGCACTTGTCAAGGCAGAGGATGCTGCGTTGTAACGACTGGACTGACCCAGTACAGCTGTTCTTCTGTTATGTTCTTCTTAAGCATGTTAATTGTGTACCTCAGATGGGTATTCACCTGAGACCTGGGGTTTACTTCTGGGGACTGAGAGTGAAGCCTGAGTTGTAATCTCAGCATCTTCTGGTTCAGAATGTGGAGTTCCTGCCAAACTAGTTCTCATTTATCGAAATCTGACCCAGCACAATGTTTAACTCAATACTTTTCTTACTTTGCATATTTATTCACTATTAGGAAGACAGCGTTCCTAACAGGCTGTATGCCCATCCTAAGTATTTCAAGTTTCACAGGGACAGAACTGAACTAAAAGGGTGGGGGACGAGGCGGGGGGAAGATTTCCATAAAATACACAAAATGGATGTTGAAGCTTTTTCTTTGAGCAGAATTTCAGTTCTGTTCAGAGGTACCAACTAATATATGGTCTATAAAATAAAATGTATGCATCAAATTATATAGGTGCTTCTCCATTTCACAAAACGTAAAATTACAGTATTAATACTAGAGGGGGTAAATGAATGGGATGAAGACTCCTTGCAATCCTTAGTTTGGTTTTCTTTAGGCTGAAGCAGCTAAACTGGTTCCGATGGGTTTCACCACAGCAACGGAATTCCACCAGCGAAGGTCAGAGATCATCCAGATCACCACTGGGTCCAAAGAACTTGATAAACTTCTTCAAGGTAATAATTTTATTTCTCTCTATTGATTAGCCTTCAGTATCTGCTTTTTTGTCTATGAACATGATCCTTGGACAAAAACACATAAGAGATACAAGTTCTGATCTCTTGAATCTCAACATCGTTGAGATGTTGGAGCGTGTCCAGAGAAGGGCAACAAGGCTGGTGAAGGGTCTGGAGAACAAGTCTGCTGAGGAGCGGCTGAGGGAGCTGGGGTTGTTTAGCCTGGAGAAAAGGAGGCTCAGGGGAGACCTCATCACTCTCTACAACCACCTGAAAGGAGGCTGTAGCGAGGTGGGTGTTGGTCTCTTCTCCCAAATAACAAGTGATAGGACGAGAGGAAATGGCCTCAAGTTGCGCCAGGGGAGGTTTAGATTGGACATGAGGAAAAATGTCTTTACTGAAAGAGTGGTTAAACATTGGAACAGGCTGCCCAGGGAAGTGGTTGAGTCACCATCCCTGGAGGTATTTAAAAGACGGGTAGATGAGGCGCTGAGGGACATGGTTTAGTGGGCATGGGGGTGTTGGGTTGACGGTTGGACTCAATCTTAGAGGTCTCTTCCAACCTTAATGATTCTATGATTCTGTGATTCTGGTTGAACGAAAAAGTTCTGCTTTCTTGTATCACAATTGATTTAAAAGCTGTAGAAATAGTTTTAAAACCTTTTAGTCATGACGCAATACCCAGAGCTGTTCATTTTGGATGTTTCTAGTTTATTCTAGTCTATGACCTATTTGAAGAAAACAAAACCAGGTATCATCATCTCCCCATTTCTACTTGTAATCAAAAAATCAAAACAAGTCATTTCAGCTTTTCAGCATCTTCAAAAATACACTTACCTAAACTACTTATCTGCAACGTGAACAAACCTCAGTAGGAAAACCAGTTTTTCCAATTAGAGTTTTGAAACTTTTAACCAAGGAAGTGTTGAACTGAGTCTCTGTAAATGTAATACTTTATACGTGGTCTTTGTTTGAAGTATGTGACCTTTTTAAAATTATTTTATTATTATTATTTTCCCTTCAGGAGGAATAGAAACAGGGTCCATAACAGAGTTATTCGGGGAGTTTCGTACTGGAAAAACACAGTTGTGTCATACCCTGGCTGTAACCTGTCAAGTGAGTAGTTCACTTTATTCAAATCAAGTATTCAGACAGCACAGCTTTTGGATATTTGCTAATTTGTGCACTTCTCTCAACCAGTACAAATGTGATGCGTATAAACAGCTGCAAAGAACGTGAGTATTTGCAGCACCCTTGGTTGTACTTGCAGCTTTCTAGGATCTTTTGTTTTGTGCTTAATCTGCCTACTAGGGTTACTTTAGCTGCAATTAAGTTTGTGATGTTTTTTGCCTGTGTTTGATGTGTTCTGTAGCTTTTTTTTTTCCCCTCCTCAGTATTCTGACAAGAAAATTTAACACGTTAGCCTTGTCGCATAATTCTAAGTCTTAAATGCAGAGAAGCGTTTGATGTCTCTTCAGGTGCTCGAGACTGCAGAGGACCTTTCTTATCACCCAGAGTGTTGAAAAGAGAGAAGAAACTGTGTTGGGTTCAATGTGTTTCTTTCACTAGCTGCTTTTTTTTCCTAACATATCCTAAGCTTACTTCATTTTACTTTTGTAAAAGCCTTCAGCTGGCTCTTGCTGTCTCACAGCAGATCAGTTTGGGGTAACCTTTTTTCTAATCTTAGTTTAAACAAATAATAGTGCTTATTACTTTCTAGAGGTTGCTATTTCATAAAATATTAGAGGCTTTGGGCTTAATTTGATCGTTTAGTTAACACCCTTATGCACCTAAACTTACCAGCTCAAAGTTAAGCACCTGTCCTCTTACGTAGGTATCGGAGATTGAAAACAGGAATCTTTCTTCTCACTTTTCCCAGATACGTGTGACTTTAATCGCAATAGCTTGGTATGTTACTTACTGTATGGTATCAGTTGAGGGCATAAGGCAATAACTGGATTATTTGTTGAAGCTTTATTTCATGTTCATTCATTTGCTTTTCCTTTAGCTTCCCATTGACCGAGGTGGTGGTGAAGGAAAAGCTATGTATATTGACACAGAAGGGACCTTCCGTCCAGAACGTCTTCTTGCTGTGGCTGAAAGGTCTGTACTTAGGGCTAGAAGTAACCTGGCATTAGCTGAAGAAAGGAATACATTTACTCATGGGACAGCTTAGTTAGTTAGTAAGGATCACTGTGTAAATCAGCCTGTCTCCTTAAATTCATGGGGCTGTTGCAGTAAGAGCTGTCCCTAAAACAACCAACCAACCAAACCCCTCTCTGTATTCTAGTTGCCTGTCTACCTACATGCATGTTGGACCACTTCGTTAGCTGTGTTTTATAAACAAAGTTTCTAGTTTTAGATATAACAGCAGCTAACATCATTGTCCCCTGGAATATGATGTCTTCACTTCTTACTAGTGTCTCTTTCAAATTCAGTTTTACTGTTAGTGAAATACATTCAAAGATTTTTCTTAAATTCTGCCAATAGCATTACCTTGAAACAAAGATTCTTTTGTCAAAACGTTATCGCAACAGCAGCTGGAAAATTTTTGTTAGGAAATATGAGAGCATCCACTGACCAGCTGAAAAGCTGTTTTTTCATCTCCTGCCTCTATCTCAGAATGTTCTGATGTGTTTTTTATACCAGTTGGAAAGTAAAACTTAATTACCCAAATAAAAATTCCGCTGTCTACACAGAGATTCTGGTTAGACTTAAAAGCCAGAAGTGCTGGTTCTGTACATTAGAAAAAGGAGCTACTTCTGGTCAGCTGGTTCTTTAGACTTTCTCAAAAGTAAAACTGCTTCTATGGGGCTTAATTCTCCATGATCGTTGTTTCAGTTAAACATCAAGGTATATAAGCAACTTCAGTGAACTTGGGTTGAAGTATTTCTTTATGTTGCAGTGCTTATCAATTGCTGAAATTGTGTCAGCTGGAACAGAAAAGTAGCCCAGCACTTTGGGAAGGGATGTGAAGCATGTCATACCTGACTGAAGTAGGAGAGGAATTTTAAGGATGCAGAATGCAATTATTCAGATTGGAATTTGGGTCTAAGCTTCAGATTAACAATTTCAGCTATGTGGTAGTTTTAAAAAATATTTCCACCTAGATACTGATTAGAATTTTCATGTTGGTAAGCTGTGCACTTTCTTCTGGAAGCAATAAGATGACAAACATTGATTGTTTCTAAGCTGCCAGCCAAAATCATGCAGCAAGGCTGAGCTGGTTTGAATACAGAGACTCAGACGTCCTGCAAAGATAAAATCAGTTGGCCTGTTTTCTACTACACTTTTGCTAGTCTGATTAGGCTCATAGTTTTTCAGGCTATGTGGGGTATTTTAAAAAGTATTTTAAAAACTTTCGTGCAAATTTCCTAGCTTAAAAAGCAGCTGTCCTCCTTTTTTTACCATGCATTTACAGAAGCAAAACTTAATTGCCAAGTGACTGTGTTTCCTTCAAGCACCCTTCAAGTATACTTCAAGGCCTGGCCTATCATTATAGATGTTTTCTCTAAAGTTTCTTTGTTTTTACCCTTCGTCATTCCTCAGCGTATATTTTTTTCATGAAGTTATTTTTTTGCCAAGACTCCATGTGACCTGTTAAGCAAAGCTGCCTTCCTTATGCCGTAGGCTGATTTCACAGTATGTCTGCTTTGTAATATCATGCTGCATAGCTAAGTCTCTATGGGGCAGAAACTTAAGTTTTAATTCGGTTTAATGAGGCTCGATTCTGTGCCACTGCAGGCGGCCCTGCCGTTCCTTTTGCCCCGTGGTGTTGGCATTAGCGACTGTTAGGCTGTAGGCTCAAGCAGAGCAGTTGCTAATGTGGTTCACTGCAGGGCAGCATAAATTGCTGACGCTGGAGCAAAGGAGGGGACAAGAATGAGCAGCTGGAAGCAGAGAGAATGAAAGGGTAGGGCTGCCGCTTTTTAGTAGCACCACAGATTCATGAGGTAAGGCCAGTATTTATGGGCCTTTCCGTGACTGCAGGTAAAAAAATCAAATGAGATTTAATACCAAACCAATATGACGTGCTAGCCCACAAGAGGTGCTTCCTTTTCTTTGTAGAGGGAGATGATCTAATCGACATACCATCCTAAAAGAATGCAGTAAGGTCAAGTTATTGAAAAATAGTAAGCTGAAGATTTGGGTCAGTACTGGATTTGGATGGTTTGTTACTGAAAGGCAAAAAAAAAAAACTTTGGAAGACATTTTACACAGGTCCTAGAGGTTAATTTGACAGATGTTCACTTTGGAAACATCTGGTATTACTATTCCTCTCCCCTCTCTCCACTGCTTCTCTTTCCCCACAGCTATTGTGTAATTGTCCCTCTGCAGGAAGTAATTTCCCTCACTTTTTTGCTACTGGAAGGGAATGTGCGCTTCCTAATCATCTGGGGACAGTACCAACTATATCCTGTTAAGTCGCTTTGAAGATAATTTGATCTAACCCTGCTGGCTTTTCCTGCAGCAAGTGGAGGAGTACTCCCATATTCCCTGTCATCAGTGGATATTTGGCAACAAACACCTCTTGGGCACTGATGAGAAAGAGAAATGAGGTTTGCAGCAGTCATAGGTACATCTGTACACACGTATCTCTGCGTGTTCCGTCCCTCAGTCTTTTTCTTCAGCTCAGCTAGGATGGAGGCTAACCATCTTTCCACTCATTTCTTTCTGTAGTCTGCTGATTTGCCAAGTGTTTGACTAGCACTCTTGACTTTAATCTCGAATATGTAATATTTCAGTGTGGTCTTGCTTCAAAATGCTAGTCAGGATTGGCTATTATTCACCTTCAAACATAAGGTGCCAGTAGCCTAGTAAGGTTGGATTGTTTGATTTATTAATAGCTATCATGTGCAGGTAACAAAATTAATCAGTAACTATGATTCTAAAAGTGTACTGTTCAAAGCTATGCTTAGCCTAGAAGTTTAATTTCTACAGGAATTAGGGAGGGAGACATTCGATGTCCAGCTGTGAAAAGCAGGATATTGAAATCATAAAGATACTTACCTTAATTCACGTTCTTAATTTGATGTATTTTGGTATGACTTGGATCTTTCATACTGTTGATTGATAAAAGTCGAATTCAGCTGTGCTAGTGTCATTAGAGTGTAAAGCTGTGTTGTTAGAAGCTGTGGTCCTTCACTGGAGAACCCACTTTGAGCTGGCTCTTCAGGTAGAATCGAAAAAATCAATTCTGTGACAACAGAGAAGTTTTGCACTCTTCTCCCAGGACGTCTTATCAACTGAACGTGCACTTATGCCCATTGATGTGCACTTCTGCAGTCAGTGCACCGTTGACATGTGCACTCCATTGAATTTGCTTTAGGTAGACATTGCAAGTACGCCTCTCCAAAGTGCCTGTACACGCATGCATGCGGAATGGGGAAGAAACGGGAAGAGTTAGACATCTGTGTGCAGTTTCAGGGCTAAAAGCTCATTGTGATCACAGAGAAGGGGTGACCATGAGATGGTGGAATTTGGGATCCTGAGATCGGTGCAAGGCATTAAGCAGGATCGCAATACTAGACTTCAGGAGAGTGGACTTTGGCCTCTTCAGGGATCTGCTTGGAAGAATCCCATAGGACACAGCCTTTGAGTGAAGAGGGATGTAGGAGAGCTGGCTGATTGTCAAGGATCTTTTCCTCCAAGTTCAAGAACGGTCCATCCTGTTGAGCAGGAAATCAAGCAAAGGCAGTCGGAGGCCTATATGGATGAACAAGGAGCTCCTGTTAAACGTAAAAAGGAGGCATACGAGAGGTGGAAGCAGGGGCAGGTGACCTGGAAGGAATATAGAGGCACTGTCCGAGCATGCAGAAATGGGGTTAGGAAGGCCAAAGTCTGTCTGGAGTTGAACATGGTGAGGTATGTAAAAAGTAGCAAGAAAAGGTTTTAGTGTTCAGTGTGGCCAAACTTTAGAACAGGTTGCCCCGAGAGGTTGTGGAGACTCCATCCTTGAAGATGGTAAAAACCTGACTGGACACAGTCCTGAGCAACCTGCTGCAGCTGATCCTGCTTTGAGCAGGGAGGGGAATTGGACTAGTTGATCCACAGAGATCCCTTCCAACTTCAAAGAGTCTGTAATTCTGTGAAATATGCTGTAGTGTGAAATGAAAAATGAGAACAAATTATGTATGTTCTCTCTCGTTGGAAAAAAAATACTACTACATTTCAGATCCAAGGAGGATAATCAGCTGGTTCTCCAAATTCTAAGGGATTTCTCAAAGTGCCGTATAAATAATTTAAATGCAAGATGTTGAATGTAACTATCTTTTTTTTTTTTTTTTTTGGTAGTGAAACACTGACAGAGGTATTGCAGGTGGAAGGCTGTTTACCACTGGTTTTTATTAGCAATATCCTGCTTTCAGAATATTCTGTTCCAGAATGGTAGCTTTCCTTGCCTGTGGTTTTATTTTGAGGAAAATGTCTGGTGTTCTACTTTACTGTTGTTCCTAGGCAGGAAAGTATTCTTTAAAAATGGGTTCCAATCATTCTGTTTACTTTTCCTCACCAAGTTGTGTTGCATTTTTTGTTGTCTGTTTTTTATCTCTAAGGCTCTCCCAGGAATGTGAATTTTTATTCTAGTCTTTAGGTAAACCTGCTGGGTAACTCCTATTGATGAAGTTGTCACTTAAAGATTTTTTTTTTTTTCCCCCCCCCACTGATTTCTCCAGGTATGGCTTTTTTTTTGGTGATGTCCTAGATAATGTGGCGTATGCTCGAGGTTTTAACACGGATCATCAGACCCAGCTCCTGTATCAGGCATCTGCTATGATGGCTGAATCACGGTAATAAGACTGGTTTAGATGGAGTGATTTTTGTGCCCATACTTATTCATATTATAAAGCTACCTGTAGATGATGAACAAGTGCAAGAGAAGTATAGATTACAAAATTGTGAAATGTCAAAGTAAACGTTTACTTCAAAAGTTAACTTTTTTGAAATATACTTGCTTTCTTCATTGCTTAGCTCCATTAGATCAGGTTTTGTTACTCTCAAACTGGATTATGCTTTGGCATATCCAGATAATAAGCTTGGTGTCTCAGCAGTCAGTTTGAGTTAATACCTCTTGCTGTTGAAATGTTGGATGACGGCGACTGACTTGAACTGCAACAACTGATGTTACTTTACAAAGAACAAGTGCCAGCCTGAGAAACAATTTTAAAAATCAGTTTATAATTGCTTTCAGAAATAGAGAGTGTTGATTTAGAGCATGCCAAGCACCGAAGAAACCTGTGCAGACAGCTTTAGTTTAAAACTAAGATTTATGGACCCCTTTAGAGGGAAGGAGGTGGTGGTAAGAGGTGTAAGGTGGTAAGGGGAACCTCTCCACAGAGTATCATAATTCTCAAAACATTAAATTCTGGGCTAGTTTATAAAAGTCTTATTTATTTATTGATAAATCTGAGTTTTTAATCATGCAACAACTTTCTTTGGGTTTACTGGGTTTTATTGTATAGTTAGTAATCTGAACTTTACAGATCAAGTCAGTGTTGTTAAAAAAAATAATTCTGCTAACTGGCAGGCTGAGAGGAGCTTACACCCCCATCAGTATGCAGCCTTACAATTTGCTGGACACTGTCACACTCCAATGGAGGCATTATTCATGCCTGGGAATGTTTATGAGAACCTTGTACTTACCTTCTCCAGATACGCGCTGCTGATAGTGGACAGTGCCACAGCCCTGTATCGGACAGATTACTCAGGAAGAGGTGAGCTGTCAGCTAGACAGATGCATCTGGCCAGATTTCTGCGTATGCTGCTTCGACTTGCAGATGAGGTAAGCTATGAACTTTGCTTTATTCTCTAAAGGACTGGTGATCAGTTTTCTTTCTCTTGCAAAGCTTAGCAATTTTGTACAAATGGCTTTCTGCCCGGTCGGTGTCTGCTTCCATTTTGTTTTGAGAGGCATGCTAGAGTGGTTATGGACAGCAGAGAGGACAGCAGAAGTGCATGTGTCTCCCCCACCCCCTTTTGTTCAGATTGTGGAAAATAAATGCATTTTGGTTGTTGCTTTTCTCCTTACAGTTTGGTGTGGCAGTTGTGATCACTAACCAGGTGGTAGCACAAGTAGATGGAGCAGCCATGTTTGCTGCAGATCCCAAAAAACCTATTGGAGGAAATATCATAGCACATGCTTCCACCACGAGGTGAGAGAACAGATTATCATCTTCCATTAGCCTTATTTTGGAAGATTTTATGAAACTAGCTAAGTACCTTTAAATTCTGGGTTTCTACGTAGTCTGTCAACAGCAAGTCCAGCCTGCTTTTCAACAAATGAATGCTATTCTGAGCACTCATTAGTCTGCAGTAAAATCAACACAACATTTTCAGAAGTTCTTACAGCTCCACTGTGTGCTGTATTCATGTACTAACATAATGTTTTAACGCTTATCATAATGATTTACTGAAAGTAGGCTATTTTTTGTTTCCTTCTCCCTATTAGACTGTATCTGCGAAAAGGCCGAGGTGAAACCAGAATATGTAAAATTTATGACTCTCCTTGCCTTCCTGAGGCTGAAGCAATGTTTGCTATTAATGCTGATGGAGTGGGAGATGCTAAAGACTGAAGACTCCTTTTCATTTCCCATGTAACCCAAGACTAGGCGTCCGTAAAAAGCTCCTTTCTTTGTGGCACCTTACAGATGCTTTCCCAACGCGGCTGCTGTTCAAATGCTGGCAGAGGAATCTTGTATTTCAGCACAGAATTCCATCAGGTGAATACACTTTGAGACACATCTAGAGGTGTTGCTTGGAAGAGATCTAGCCTCTTGGGCTTTAGTCACATGTTAGATTAACGTGGTTTCTTGAGAACATTTTCAGAGGACCATAGCCTTTGTATTTTCCTCACGGCTGTTGCTCCAGCTGGATTCTACCGGTGGACATAGTGCAGTAAAATCTAAGAGTATGTGGCCATAGTTTATAATTTGGTGAATTTGAAGTAGCATTGATGGGTTTGTCAAATAAGAAAAGTGGTGACTTAAATACTTAATGGATTGCTTTAATTATAAAATAAAGCAGAATGGTATTCCACAATAAGAATTTGAGGATATTGCTGGGATTGATGATGATCACAATCCATATTCTTTATGTTAATTTTGTTTTGGATGTGGCAACATGCTGGGTTTTGGGAACTGTTAATTTACATTTTAGTTACATTTTTTGTATTTCACTAATTCTCTGTGGAAATCTGCTTTTAATAAAAAGGACCATGAAAATATTGACGACATTACGGGTTTCTGGGATTCAGCCAGGTGTTAATTCAGACCGAGGCATTTTTTATGTGCGGGTAGGAAGAAGATGCATAAATCTTCAATGAATCTTCAGTCTGGATTTTTTTTTTTTCTCCTAATGCTAACAAAATGCATCATCCCCATCTTGATTTGGGATGGGCAGTGCAACTGTGCTGTAAGTGCCCTGTAGATGTCTTTTAAGAGTTTTTGAGGTTAAAAAGGATCTTTTATATTATGCAATATTTTTATATAAGCTATGCTATTGTGAACTACTCTAAACTTGATTGAAGAGAATAGTATCATAGTGGTGGTCGGTAGCAAAAAATATTTTCCTCGTTCTTTTTCTCTGGGACAATTTTTCTGGGACAAATAATGAAGAATACATACAGTGGGATCCAACTGTCTCTTACAGGCTAGCAGGCATAAGCTACATTTATTCAGGTACATAACTACTCGTGCTATATTGACTACTAAATCTCATGAGATGGTAAGTTGTCTGCTGTCTCATTTGTAGCTGAATGCTTTTGTTCTTAAATTCTGCATAGCCACGGAGTGTGCTGTTTCTATTCAGAAGATGTGCACAAAAGGCCGTTGCTGTCACCGTTGCCTGCAGCTGAGTTTCAAGAACTGAAACTCACATAAAAATGTTAACTAGGGGATTCAATTGGGGTTGAACTCATCAGTAAGGAACTGAGATGTTCAGGGTTTTTAGTGACAGAAGTTCAGCTCTTCCTCGTTACTCACACTTGCCCTGCATGTAGGTGAAGGTGGTACAACATACTGTCTGTGATCGCTGGTGTCTGAGGGGACCGGTTATAAGATCCCGTTATTGCCTAAAGTATGCTAGATGTTAGTCATGCTGGCTGAAACCTGACATGGCTGGGGTCTGTAACAGGCCCCATTAATACTTCTGGGAGGGCGGGGAAATCTGGCAAAGACTTTCAGCTGTCCTCAGGAGTGAGGCTAGAGTAAAAGGAAATGTTATGCCCTGTCAAAAACGTCCAGATGTCTGAGAAGTTCTAGCCTTTCGGTTTTGAGAGTCCAGACCTAAAGTTTGGCAGAAGGTGGTCTCTGAAATGAAATGTCTCGTGCTGTCCCTGTGGAAAGTTGCTTACAGGTAACCAAGGGGGGGTTTTGTTTTTTAAGCCCCACTTTGTAAACACTTACCTATCATGTGGTACCACTTAGGTATAAATGACACTTTATGGGATGATGGAACAGTTGTTTTATTGCTTTTGGCTACACTAAAAGTCAAAATGTCATGTTTGTTTTCTGCTCTGTTGCTTCTCTTCAGTGTCCTTTGTGGAGAGGGAGTTTTGCCATGCCTACACCACAGTCCTCTGCTGTTTGTATCTCTCTGTATGTTAATGCTGTGTAATTCAATCTAATAGAACCTTTTTTTTTCTCCTTTCAAAGTCTACTTCGGTCTTTGGACAACTAAAATTACATCTGAAGTCCTCTCTGTTCATGTAATGCTCAGCATGGAAACCGATTTTTCTAGTAGCCTGCAGTACTTCTCTTAGCTAGCTGAAAGGTTCGTACTTTGATTGGGAGAGTGAAGGTGAAGAAACTAGGAAATATTTGCTCCTCTTCGCTAAGCTCTTATATGGCTTAGGCTCTGAACTCAGGGGATTTTTGGGGGGGGTTGTTTTGTTTCTTTTAAACACAAGAACCTTTTTAGAAAGATCTTTCTCGAGTCATCTTATGACATCCCTGTAGCAGCTGCACAGGCAAGTATTTCCATAGAGGGTTTAAGTTGCTTATGACACAATGCTATGAAACGCTAATTAAATAAGCTCATTGTCAACATTGCTTTAACCTCAAGGAGGCATAATTAATATTCCTTTAGTAAACATTTTTCCTGCTGTCTCCTTGAAATACTTCTCTGAATGTTTCCCCAAAAGTTCCTCTCAAGGCAGTGGAATATGATTAGAAATCATACTCACTTTTAAATTCTAAAGTGTTTTTGTGTGTGTTTGCGCAATCATCTGGCTCACGTTCACCCAGCCAAGTTTTGCTACGTTTGAACCCATGTCTAGAGGTGAAGAGGAAATTATAACCAAATTGAAATGTGTACGGAAATACGTGCATTACTCTGAACTACTAATGCCCTTATTAAAGCACGATGGAGAGCGGTTTGATTAATTAAAACGATGTAGAAAGTCTGCAGTGTTTTGTTTCCATGTTTCCCTTGAGAGTTGCGTTAGTCTCCTAACAGCTGTCTGCTTTGCTGCCGGCATCGGCCGCCGCTCCTTCAGCACCGGTTAGTTACCAGTCACGCAGGCTCTGCCCATCCGCGGCTGCATCTGGTTTGAATTTCCAGAAGAGTTGGCGATGCTATTAGCTACACAACTTGCTTTTTGTACACAAATTAAAAAGCCCTCGTAATATAAATGTGAAGCGTAGAGACCGCAAGGAGCGAAGCGAGGCTCGCAGTTGGAAGGACACGAGCGTAGTGTCACGTTGAGAAATATTCCCATGTTTTCTTTAGAAGAGGACAGCCACATCTCCTAACTCCATGCATCTTGCTCTGCGGGCAGATAGCTGGCTGACTGTCTAGCATTGTGTGTGGTCAGTGAAGTTTTCCCAACTACCCAGCTTTAGAAGCAAATGCTAAATTTTTCCAGATGCAGCCGTGGTGGTGCAAGTGTAAAGCGCTGCTCGGTGGCTCCAGTTCTCCCTTTTTGTTAGCTCTGCAAATACACAAACCCACTGTGTGACAGCAGCGCTTTCCCCGGGATGTGTTTTTAATTACGGGGAGGAATCTTTGTTAAAGGTCACAACCCGGACCGAAAGCAATCGGATCTCTGCGTATGGTTTATGTTATCTCAGTTCAACACACCCGGTGCCTCGGTTTCTCCACCGAGACCTGAGGCTGCAGCGTCGGCCTTACAAGGTGACCTCGTACAACCCGTGTTACTCTAGCCAGGGAGGAGAAAAATAGCCAAAGGTAGAAGTTCCCAAAGTCTAAGGTAACACTTAGTTATTTTCACTGCATAACTTGAGTTAATTAAACTACGCAAACTTATCCTTGAGTTTATTGTTGTGCTGCTGACCTTGGCCGATAGCGTGTGTTAGTCTTGGTGGTGGCGGTTTTCCTCCGAAGATCAGTGTGTGTTTATGCTGTTGAAATGCAGCTTTAATGCTCCGTCCTTCCTGGCACAGACCTCGCTGCTGGTGGTGAAAAGAACTGCAAGGACAAATTGTCGGCTCCTGCTGTGACTACAACGACCAGGCACAATCTACTGTTTCCCTTTCAGATGGTTTCAGCCTTTATTTTCAGGAGAAACTTTGAAATATAAATTGGTTTCTCTGTGCCTTAGAGTTACATCGTGCTTCACTCCGTCTCGCTCAAGTGCCTTCCAGGAAAGGCAGAAAATACCTGCATAACGCAGCTGTGATCTGGGGCTTTAAAAAAACTTCGGAGCACTCAATATTTGTTTGTCCAATCATTAAATGCGAGACAGAAAGGAGGTTTTAATAACTGCAACCTTGAGGCTTCAAACAAATGAAGAAGAAAAGTAAAATGGAGGGAACACTGCAGCTTAAAGTTCCGTCCAGAATATTTAGAACGTCTCACCAGAAACGAACAGCAAAGGCACAGACTTCAGCACCAGCCTGAAAACAAAGGGAGCGTTTTTGTCCTTCCCGTGCGGCAGATGACAGCGAGTTGGTGTTTCGCTACGCTGGAAGGAGTTTGAGTGTTGAATGGATTTTGGGGAGGTGCGAGGGGGAGAAATCGGAGGTGGTGTATCTTCACACCTTTTCAGAAAATAAACTGCAAGACTTCAAGTTTCACTTAAAACCATTCATTTTTATTAAACTAGTTGTATTCTACTGCTTCTTAAATTTATCCTGAGGGTTTTCATTTTTCGTTAGCAGAAGCTTGTTTGTAAGATAACTTGACTGTGCTTGTTTCTTTGTCCATATTTTGTATAAAATATGATCCTTTAATCACTGATGGTCCATCACATATTTTAAAAACATCCAAATCTGCTGGAAAAAGAAAAGTACAATTGTGTGCAAATCTCTACCACCCCCACTACCCCCAGGGAAAGGCTTTGCTAGAGTAAGAACTCGGAAATGAAAGTGAATCTTTGAGCCTGGCTGGTGCCCCTTAACGAGCTCCAGCACTTCTCTAGCTTAAGACCATCAAATCCATCCTGTAGCTGTGGGGTCACATTCTGCATTATGCCTCAGACAGAAAAGTGAAATTTATATTCTTGATATTTGGTTAAACCAATCTTGGGACAGAAAGCACAATAAAAGTCAACTTTATGTACGCTTCGCTCCGTGACTTGCTCAAGCAATAGGTTTAGAGGCTTGAGCGTATGAAATAGAGGGAAAAGCACAGCAACCACCGTACAGCAGAGAGCACGTGAGAGGGTTCGGAAGGTGGTCGTGGTGAGCAGAAGATGGTCGTGGTGAGCAGGCGACCTGCCTCGTGGAAAGGGGAAGCCCAGAGCTGCGTGAGAGCACGCTCCTGCGAGAAAGGCCAACCTTGGGGGTGTTTAGGGTGAAGCCTGGGAGCGCAGGGGCTTCCGAGTGGATGCGCTGAGCAAAGCCAGGAGGAGAGCAGTTTGTATCTACAGCTGCAAGAAAAACCTGAGTGCTCAACCACTGCCCGAAATGCACGCGTG